AGCATTTACAAATTGAGATAAGAAAAACCAAAGATATGAATACTTTTGAGGATTTTGCAATAATTCTGGTAACATACAATGAAGACCTGTACCAATAAAATGGCTGTTGAAATGTGAAGAAGATGAATGTGAAAGACACTATAGCTTAGCTCAGGTGTTGGCAACTCTTTCTGTAAAAGGACAAATAGTAATTTTTTTAGGTTTGTTGTGCTATATGGTATTACAATCTGCCATTGTAGCTGAAAGCGGCCGTAGACAATACACAGATGAATAAATGAGGCTGTGTTCCAATAAAACTTTATGTATAAACACTGAAATTAGAATTTCATATAATTTTCATGAACATGAAATATTGTTATTCTTTGATTTATTTCTACCGTTAAAAAATGTAAAAACCACTCATTGCTTGTGGGCTGTACTAAAGCAGGTAGTGGGCCAGAAGGCCTTAATTTGCCAATACCTGGCCTGGCAGGATACCATTCTCTCATCTCCTAATTGCATCACTGTTATGAAACTTTAAGCATCTGGTCACAGAATAATCCCAACATTATTATATTACCTGACTTTCTTCTTGGCCAGAACATCAAGTACCTTGAGTAATGGAATCCCATTCATAATTCTATTTATTCTTCACAGAATACAATACTGAGGACATTTAAATCAGTCTGAGTAGTTTACTTTTCCTTAATTTAATTATTTAATAATGGGTTAAAGAAAACACTAGAAGGAGAAATTATCCACCTCGTTAGCTGACTTCAAAAAATAATCTGTCATTTTGACATACTTTACTTCTATTAGACATCTTCATAAATTGCCACAATGACTCAAACTTCAAATGAATGTATACTTGCTTAAGAATAGGTGCTATGCAATTGCCTTGACAATAAAGAAACAAATAAGTGATTCAAAGGAAACACACTGTGCAAGTGACTTATATTTTCAAATACCCTTCGCCATATATATATATATATACATACATACACACACACATACACACACACATACATATATATATATTTATTTGCTATAGAGTAAAAAATATTCTTTCCATTAATGCCACTATAAATTTTAAATTACGTTTCAAGATTAGTATCTTTGACAAGGCAAGGATGAAGAGAGTATAGATATACTAATAAAAGGGTAATATGCTAATTAAGGCAGACATCTTCTGGACATCCATCCGAATGTCCATCTGGACGTCCATCTGGACAAAGTCATAGCGGCTGCAAGGCCCGGGGCTCAGGCAGCCATGGGCTCAGGCAGCCTTGAGCCCCAGCAGCTGCGAGGCCTGGGGCTCACAGCAGCTGTGGGCTCACTGCAGCTGCGGCCTCAGGCAGCCATGGGCTCACGCAGACCCAGCGGCTGCAAGGCCCGGGGCTCAGGCAGCCGTCGCAGCCAGCAGTGGCAGCAGCAGCGGGGTGATAGGGGCAGTGCCTTCCCCTGATCAGCCCAGTGGCCTCCCGCAGAGGCCAGAGGACTGATGGCTTAGGTCCAGGAGCGGACCTAAGCCATCAGTAGGATATCCCCTGAGGGCTCCCAGACTATAAGACGGGGCAGGCCGGGCTGAGGGACACCCCCCCTGCAGTGCACGAATTATCGTGCACCGGGCCTCTAATATATTTATATAGGACTGGTGCACACACAAGGCATTGCATTTACTGAGGTTACTTCTACACTATCTCCAAAATCTCTAGGTAGTTTCAACAAATGCAGCATAAAAACCCTGCTGCTACCTCCTACTCCTGATAATTAAACCAGGTAATTTCACATACCTCCTCCATCTCCATTGTAACTGAGGCTTGTCCTGTCTTCCAAAGTAATGTTCCTAGGACATTGCTTCTTCCCTTCCTCAGGTATTCGAAAAGTAATAATGTCTAATATCCCAGTATGACAATTCATAAACAGGTAGATAAAATTACAAGATAAAGACCAGCCTAAAAACTTAGTTTGCTTTCTGTTTTTTTTGTTTCCAAAAACTGAGTAAGAAATATGATCAATGATATAATATTGAAGTACGGAAAATAAGGGATACAGAGCCAGAGTTGCTATGATCCAAAGCTTATCCTTAAATATTAACTATTCAAATGCCACCATAGACCACTCAGATGTTTTTCCTGGTCCAAATCTTCAATGTGAAACTCAACCCCCATTGCATTAGGAACCTAACTCTACAGAAGATAGGCTGGCTATATATTTGAGGATATAGAAAAAAAGAGAGGTTAACCATGTTTCTGATAAAGGAAAAAGGAACAGTTCTTAAGGGAAATGAAATCTGGAGCTCAGTTCTTTGGAGTCTTAACATAATATGCCTTCCCCCAAAACAAGCTCAATGTTAAAAGTCCAAACATGACTGTACCTAAAAGTACCTAGTGTACCACCATCTATTACTTTTCCTCTAGCTTTATAGTAACTTTTCCATTTGTAGTTGCATTAGAAGAGCACCTCTTTACCAGGAGCAAATGCTATCACTTACAGGTATTTTCTAGGCACTAATATTACCCTGTCATTCCCCAACTTTACATCTACTAACAAACAGCTGTGACTGATCACTTGTTACAAGGGAAACAAACCATAGCAGGTGAACCCCTATTCACAGCTAAGAGATATATTTTTGTGATGAGATATATGTTGGTCTTCATGTTCCTAGTTTCAGCCTGCAAGGCATCACCAATATACACAGCACTCACTCATGACACCGCCTTCCCATCTCTGGTTACTTATTTCCCCAGAGTAGTAGCTGTTGTCAACATAAACTATTCCACCAAACCCCAAAAGTTTAAGTCAAGAAACCTGGATATCAGGCCCAGCTTTGCTACTTACTGACAGTGTGACCTTGACCAAGTTATTTAAATTTCCTGAACTTCAGGCTGTTCAGGTTCTTTATCCAAAAAGAGGAGGATAATGAAATTACTGTTCTCAGGGGGCTATTAGGAAGACTAAATGAGATGATGGTGAAGCACTCTACCAAAAACTGAGAGGTATTCTGGGTTGAATGGAGCAGACTTTAGCTAACATATGAAGACTGGCACAGACCTCAGGCTCTTGAAGGTGATCCTACCTTGCTGATGGCATGAGCAGAAGCAAAAGCTGGAAATAAAATGAGGCTGGGTAAAGAGAGAAAGTTAAATTAGGTAGAGAAAGGAGGAATGAAATCAAATTGTGTGTGTGTGTGTGTGTGTGTATGTTGGAGGGGTGGTAAAGTTGATGGTAAGATACAGTCCTAGAAGTATACCAAATACTACAGTCCAAATGCTTTAATGAGGTGGCTAACATTTAATTTACATTTTATAAAGGATGTTTTTTTCCACATTTGTGGCCAAGTTTCAGTGAAAGATTTTTTTTGTTAAGTAATTCTTTTAGTCCTATTTCCCCATATAAACATTCCCTCACACCAGATTTCATTTCAAGAATATTCAAGAGACCTATCAATTCAAACATGTGTGGGCACCAGACACACAAAGATGAAAGCAGGGCTGAATTTAGACTTATCAGTCATTACTTAAAACGAAAGGTGCCACTGAATTTCAACCAACTGTAGGAAGCAAAAGGGGAAGAGACACCAAAAGATCTACCCAAACATTAACAGTGAGTTGCCGCTGGATGATGGAATAAAAAGTGACATTTTCTACTACGTTATACCTCTGTAAAATGGTCAGTCTGTAAATGTCCAAAGTTTCTCCTAGGATCCATTTGGTTTAAATGTAGACACGAAAGAACAAACACTACCCTCACAGCTGGGAACTTTTATTTGCTAACAGATTGGTACGGAATTTACTGCAATGAGATTTTGTTTATATACTTGTGGTGGAAAATGTCTAATCATTTTCACTTTAAAACAGACCTTTAACGCAGGCATGGACCTCAGAAATAATCCAAGGCAACATCTGCTCTTGAAAGATGCAAAAATGAAGAGTCAGAGAGTTGAAACGATTTGTTTACGATCACACAAATAGCAACAGCTTCAAGACTAAAACCCAGGTGTCTGGACTTTGCAACTCAGAGCTCCTTCCACTACACCATTTGTTTTGAATGATGCTTCTCGAAAGTCCACACTAACGGAAGAGCATCTATGGTGCTACGAGAAGACAGAGATGGATAAAACCTGGTCCCTGGACTCAGGGGAGTCCGTTTTAAAATAAAAGGCAAATTGAAACATGTGTTCTGCTTTCAAAACGGAAAATCTTAGCAGCTTCTGCTGAAAGATACTATTTGATTCCCACCCCTCCACCACCGAATCCTGCATTCCGTCAGTTAACTTTCTGGTCCCACTCACGAGCTATCAATGCTCCACAATTTGGAAGAGAGAGAGACGGTTGGCGAATGGGAGTTATAATAAGTTCTCTAACCACCAATTACCCTTCAAAACTTAACCGTGCACTTCACTTCCCTTATGCACTTCTCTTGCCCTTCTCTAGCAATGCAGCCCCCCACACCTTTGAAAAGAGAGGAAATACACTTAACTTTTTTTTTTTTTAAAGAACCTGTGATTTGGCTCCAGATTTGAGCGCTCCATGAAAACCATTCCAGACATCCACCTCCTCCTCCTCCTTTCACGGCATTCAGGTTTTTTCTGTCTGCTTCGACTTTCAGGGGCAGGTCTGCCATCGCCCTAAATAGAGTGGCATGGCCCCGAGGGCACCGAGCCTCCTTCCTGCAGCCCCACCATTGAAGGGGCTCTGCCAGGCGCCCAGGGGAGGTCATCCTCCCTCCCTTCAATTCCTGTTTATTCCTGCCGTCGAGACACCACTCCCAAGGCCAGTCCTCCCTCCAGCTGACCGACCTGTGCCTCCCAGACAGGCTCATTCAGAGAAAGGGACAGCAGAGAGGAACCCGGGGCACGCGTGAGGGTTGGCCCTTGAGGAGCAGACGAGCGAGCGCCAGATTCAAAGGCAGAACCGGGAGAGTCAAGGAACTGGCCTCCCGCACTCCGAGATGAAACGCCACCTCATTTAAAAACGGGAACGTTCTCCACAGCAACCTGCTAAGACAAAACCACTCACCTGCAAAGAGGCCACCAGCAGCAGCACCCGCTCCTCAGAGCCGCCGCCGGGCAGGCAGCGCCGCCTAGGACTCATCCCTGTGGCCGGCATCAACGCTCTTTTCTAGCCCGGGCGCCAGAGGGGCAGGTCCTAGCGCTCTGCCCATTGGGGGGTTGAAATGTCACTCATTTACGGCCCCGCCTTACTCCCCAGGAACAGGTCGAGGTCTTTTCCGGTTCCCAAATCCCTGGGGTAGAAAATGAGGTTCTGATTGGCTCACTGCGGAGACGAGCACACGTCCGGACCAATGAAGAGCTGACATCGACGCCGGTGGGCGGGCTTGGGTCTGGAAAAATAGAGAAGCTGAACCCGCGATAGAAAAGCCTCAGGCCTGGGGAGGTCTTGACGGGCTGAGGTGCTAGAGAGAGTTTCGCGTCGTAAAGAAAGCAAGTACCTGCCCATGTACGGAAGTGTCGGCGGGATCCTGGAGGCGATGGGGCGATGCCTTTTTTAAGGTGGGAGATTTCAACCCGTGATGAAAGTGGGCAGTTCTTGCGGGGGAAAGCTCCCGCTTTCCTAGTTGGTTTTAAGTCTTAAATCGTGATGGAAACAAAAGCCTTTAAAGTGCCGGCTGTCTGGGCAGCAGCTGAGCCGCGCTTTCTCTTAGTGCTTTCGTAGGGATGCCCCGTAGGCTGTTCCCTGGCACTGTTTTGGTTGGGAGAGAACAGTGATAAATAGAAGGCAGGAAAGCTTCTACCACAGATGAAGGGGGGATGGAGTGGGAAGAGGAGAATTATAAATTTGGAGGCCACAGTTACTGAACAAGAGAAACCCATAAAAAAAAAAAATACCCGAAGCTTCTCAGAGGCTAGAACCACCGCACCAGGCTTTGAAGCACACAGTCAGACCTTTTGAGTAGGTGGGAACGATATGGAATAGTACGCGTGCCTGGCCGCATGGGAAACCCCCCCTTCTCCATTTCTAAGAAGCTGCCCTGCCTGGTGTCGGAGTCCTCTTTGGAGGATTTCCTGATTCAGCCTCATCACAAGCCCCGTAGCTTGGTGCCTGCCAAGCAGGTCCTCAGAATAATTAAACAAAAAGTAATCTTTCCACGTTGTTTAACGCCACGACAGGCTATGTGTTGGATTCATGGAGACCTAAGCGTTTGTAGTTGGTTCCCTGCCTCACGGGCCCTTGTTTAGAGCAGAACATTTCCGCCCCGGATCTCAGAGATCAGGGTTCAGCTTGCAAGTGGAGGAGGCACCTTCCAGACCTGACTCCCAGGAATACAACTTCCAGATCGTATATTCTTACCCCACTTGCTCTTTCTTTCCTCCAGGATGCACGGGGGACCAAGGGAAGGGGAAGTTTCCCCAGAAAGCTCTCTAACTCAGAATGCCCACCATCCATACTCTGGAGGACAAAGACGGCCGTTCACCGGTGTCTGTAAGCATTTGACACGTGGGAATACGCAACTGCTGCACTTCAGGGCACCTGCTCATGGGATTTAGTTTTACCGTTGTTGTGGATACCCATGGAATGCTAGCTTGTCACCTAGATTCTATTAGAACATCAACAATGTCAGCCATCGCATCTGCCTTTTAGAATCTCGTTGTGTAGGTGAGGACTCTGAAGGTTAAGAGATTTGTTCAGAATTATTTAGCTGGTTGGGGGCAGAACTTGGACAAGGACCCTTGCAAGGTTGCTAACTCATAATTCTAGGAAAATGCTTCCTTTTCTGCAGCTTCTCTCCCCTCCCCCCCCCAAAAAGACAATAAATTCTTTAAAATCAAGATTACAGATTTTAAAATTAACTTGCATTAAGACCAACCCCGAGGAATTTGATTTTGATATAGCAAGCAGTGTCGATACTATGAAAATAACTCAGTGTCTCAAGTCCCTATTTTACTTCAACCAACTCTTGGAAAAGTTCCAGTTTCATCCAAACAAGAAATGAAAACACCATATAATTTATTATAGCCATGTTGTCTCTTTGTCTTTCTTTCTATTATGTGTGTATATCAGAAAATCAATATTAACAAGTATTGTACTTTAAAGATTGGGTAGCAGATTGTCTTGTTCAATAAAATACTATTTTATGATAGCATACATACCTGGCCAAAATTTACACAGGATTCCTTTGTAGGTAGGGTTGAGCTGGTCCACCAAGCATCAGAACACCATCCACTCACCTGAGCTATTCTGCCTCTTTCTCCCCTGGCAGAGCCATGGGCTCCTTCCCTTCCTTCCTCCCTCCAGTAAACTCCAGAATTCGTTGGTCCTGTATCCCATGTACAGGACTGTCTCCTTGTCTTGAGAGTTGTCAAGACACATCATGACCTGGTTGTTTGCAGTAGTATCTAGTCTCCTACCACACCCTATCTTCTTCGGTGTTGGATTAAAATCTGCCACTCATAATCTAGTGTAATAGGCCCATGTTTGGCTTCCATTGCCCTACGAAGTACAGGACTCATCTATTTTTTTTTCTTTTTTTTTTAATATATTTTATTGATTTTTTACAGAGAGGAAGGGAGAGAGATAGAGAGTTAGAAACATCGATGAGAGAGAAACATCGACCAGCTGCCTCCTGCACATCCCCCACCGGAGATGTGCCCGCAACCCAAGTACATGCCCTTGACCGGAATCGAACCTGGGACCCTTCAGTCCGCAGGCCGACACTCTATCCACCGAGCCAAACCGGTTTCGGCTCATCTATTTTTTTAAAAATATATTTTATTGATTTTTTTTTTACAGAGAGGAAGGGAGAGGGATAGAGAGAGTCAGAAACATCGATGAGAGAGAAACATTGATCAGCTGCCTCCTGCACACTCCCCACTAGGTATGTGCCCGTAACCGAGGTACATGCCCTTGACCGGAATCGAACCTGGGACCCTTGAGTCCGCAGGCCGACGCTCTATCTACTGAGCCAAACTGGTTAGGGCAGGACTCATCTATTGAAACCAAAAAAACTGGAATTGCTCCAACGGATCAGCCATAGAGACCCACACCAGGGATTTGAAAGCCACCTGTCCTTTCTTTTCACCAGTTAAAAAAGAGAATCTTCATCTCACAGAGGAGAATAATGGAGGCAATTTTGAAATAATTTTGCAATCTCTGAAGGTACATTGCTTGACCTCAGCCTGAGGTGACAGGAATTTCCCCATTTACCTCACTGCTACCCACAGAGGCGCCTGTCAGGAAGTGAATGGCCAAGAGGGTACAGACCAGTGGCAGAACCAGGAGCCTCCGGTACTGGGACATCTGTATTATGTGAAATTTCCCTACTCTAAATCTCAGCAGTGAGCATCCTGGGGCAGAAAAGGAGGCAGGCTGATTTTCTTTTTTCCACTCTTACTTCTGGGGAAAAAATAACTGGCTGAAAAAGGAGGAAACTTGTAGAAAATCAAAAGAGGCACTTTCCCCTTTTACAAATTCTGCTTAGGAAAAACACTAATTTCTTTAAATGCTGTTTTTTCTGTGATGGTAAACAAAGTAGTCACAATTTCTGCCCTGTGGAGTTTTCAAATGCTGTATCATATGTATTAGAACTTTTTATTAACAAATATTACATTTATTGTATTAGGTTTAGAAAAGAATTTAAAACATCCATAATCTTACCACTCAAAATTTATTAACAATTTTTATTTTTTTTCTATTTTGTCCCTGTAAATACATTATTTTTTAAAAGACTGGAATTCAGCCCAGCCGGCATGGGTCAGTGGTTGAGCATCAACCTATGAATCAGGAGGTCATGGTTCAATTCTTGGTCAGGTCACATGCCTGGGTTGTGGGCTCGATCCGCAGTGTGGGGAGTGAAGGAGGCAGCCGATCAATGATTCTCATCATTGATGTTTCTCTCTCTCTCCCTCCCTCTCCCTTCCTCTCTAAAATCGATAAAATATATTTTAAACATAAAAGACTGGAATCCATAGTATATATATTGTTTTACAGCAGTATTTACTTATCATGAACATCTCCCCATGCCATTTAATATTCTTCAATATATATAATTCCATTGTGTGAGTGTGCCTTTGGATATTATATCTCACAGTTCAACCAATCTCCTACTCTTGAGCATTGAATTTGTTTCATTTTCTTAAAAAGATTCAGGTATTTAAACGGGCTGCTTGTTTCCTTGAATGACAGGGTGCTCTGGGAATGTCTGTTGAACCACAGCACTACTGGGGGAGCCCCAGCCTTTCTTTGCTCAAGGTGATAAAGCACTAGGAATTCTTTTTTCTGGGCCCTGGTATTGCAGAGCTAAGAAAGGTAAATCCAGTTAAAGCCTGAAAACACCTGGAGAGTTGTCTTTTAATCCTAGCTTTTCTCAGGGTTTCCTGTTCTTTAACCTGAAGAAAAGGTGGTTAGGTGAGAGAAAATTGGGGGATGGGTTGGAAATCAGAGCTCCATTAGTAAAACCTCACAAAACTCCTGGTATATGTATTTCCATTTTACAGATGAGGAAAGTAAGGCTCAAAGAGGGAATTGGTCCAAGCCTGCACAGCTAGGCACAGCTTGGGTCTGAAATTTGAACTGTGTCCACCATGCTTCCCACTGTTCCTAAAAACTGATGGATATAACACCATTCTCCCCCACCCTCCACCCCCCGTGGGAAATTTGTTGTCAATCTTCTGGAATATATGCATTATCTGTTCTCTAAAAAAATAAAAATCTTGACTATCCAAGAATTTCTTCTGCCTTGAGTCTCCTGAGTTGGCTTACTCTTAGTCAAAAGAATATATCCTCATTTTTTGATGAGGTATTTACTTATTTGACCTCACTGTATACATTGGAAGGTCAAAGTCATAAAAGGAAGTTCTTATAAACCCTGCAGCAATTTAACAGCACTACACATAGTTCCCTTAGCTTCTGGGATTTATGAAGTATGACGATATATATTTAACAGTACGCCTATTTTTCTAGTTTAGCTCATAAACTGGTTCTGAAGGAAATTCTAGAAGAGGCTTTCCAAAATTGTTTAGAGCCATGAAACATCACTGAAATGGGTGTATGAACCTCCCACTATGACACTTTGAAGGCAGTAACACTTACTGGAAATGTAACTTCTAGAATGTTTTGTTAAAGGCTTTTTACATAATCTAATCAAAATCAGTTTTAATCCATGGTACATGTTTTAAAAAAATTTTCCCATCCCCCCCACCCCACTCCACTCTTGTACACACACACACACACACACACACACACACACACACACACACACACACACTACCAGTACCCTAGCCCAAGCTACCATCACCTCTTGCCTGGATTTTCTCAACAGACTCCTTTGCTCTCTTTTAAGCAGCCAGGGTGATATTGGTAGAATATCTTTGTGGTCATCCTGGCTGGTGTGGCTCAGTTCATTGGAGTGTTGTCCTGTACACAAAAAAGAAATGGGTTCGATTCCCAGTCAGGGCACATACCCAGGTTGCTGGTTTGGGGTGCATATGGGAGGGAGCCAATCGATGTGTCTCTTTCACATCAATGTTTTCCTCCCTCCCTTCCTTCCTCTCTCTAAGATAAATTTATTTAAAAAAGAAAATAATCCAAATGTAATGTAATTTACTTTTTTAAAGAAAGAATATATTTGTGATCAGATTACAGCTAACCCCCCCACTTCCCATGGCTTAAAACACTGCAGTCGTTTCCCTTTGCTCCTAATATTGGCTTTCTTCGTCCTCCCTTTGGCCATTAGACCTTTGTACATGCATTTTCCCTACCTAGAATGCTCTTTCCTCCCAAGTTAAAACACAGAACAAGAATCCAAGTTTCCTAACTCTCAGGCTGAGTCTCTAATGCAAGGGTACTACTGGGGACTAATAATTATCCAACAGGGAAATGTGATTCAGTGGTTCAAAAGAAGTACAATAATGGGCAAGAGTGTGGGCTTTGGAGCCAGTCCACCTCTAAGTCTGTTCTGTACTGATCGTATGATCGTGGGCAACTTGCTTAACATCCTTGCCTCATTTCTTCTGTTGTATAATGAGCACAGTAATGATACCTACCTTATGAAGTTACATTATTTAAACAAATTGACACATAGAAAGAGCTCAATACATTTTAACTTTAAAAATATATATTTTTTAGGTGTGGAACAAAATCAACCTTGTTGATTTTCTCTTGTTTTCTTCTGAAGAAAAATAGGTACAGCAAATAACTAGGAGGCCCTCCTAAGGGCAGGGAAGGCTGGTCCTAGCAGATAAGGTTTCAGAGGCTGCACTATGTAGGGAAAGACATGTGATTACGTAGTCAAAACAAGTGCCAGGCCACAGATGCTAGTGAGTTGAGATAACATGAAGCCTAAGGGATGTAAAAAATACACAAGGGGAAAAAATTTAAAGAAATCTAAAATGGTATAAAAAATCACAACAGTAGACAAAAGACATTCTATTTATAAATGAAATCATCTTAAGCTTCTAAACTAAGGCTTGTTCTATAAAACATCTTTTCCTTGTATGGTAAACATTTTCTAGGCTACCTGAGATCCCAGAACTTGGCTTTGAGAGCTGTCCTTTCTATAGCTACTTGTAAGTGCTATGCTGTGTCCAGAGAGAAGCTACTTTACCTATAGATCTGTGACTCCAACATCAGTGAGGCAAAGCTTTTTATGTTTCTCAGTTGACTCCTCACAGAAACTTAATTAAATAAATTAAGAAAATAGCTTCACTGGCCTCATTTATTAGTGAGTTTTCAAGTAAAGAATAATGACAAAAACCATCAGTCATTACCAACAACTGAATGTTGGTCTTTTTATGCCAGTTGAAGGAGGAAGAAGGGATACTAACTAGTATCCCTGACATCATCTACTTTTTTAAAGAAAGAATATATCTTTTTTTAAAGAAATTATATATTTCATGATACTCTGACATCATCTCTCTGTGAGGTGTCAGATAAGAGAAATAGGTAAAACACCTGTTGGCAACCACAAGTTGTAAAAATTAGCAAGTAAGGTTAGCCCATACGTATTCTGTCGACTACT